AGAGCATGGTCCTCTGTAGTTCAGTTAGTAGAACATGGTCCTCTGTAGTTCAGTTAGTAGAGCATGGTCCTCTGTAGTTCAGTTAGTAGAGCATGGTCCTCTGTAGTTCTGTTAGTAGAGCATGGTCCTCTGTAGTTAGTAGAACATGGTCCTCTGTAGTTCAGTTAGTAGAGCATGGTCCTCTGTAGTTCAGTTAGTAGAACATGGTCCTCTGTAGTTCAGTTAGTAGAACATGGTCCTCTGTAGTTCAGTTAGTGGAACATGATCCTCTGTAGTTCAGTTGGTAGAACATGGTCCTCTGTAGTTCAGTTAGTAGAGCATGGTCCTCTGTAGTTCAGTTAGTAGAGCATGGTCCTCTGTAGTATAGTTAGTAGAGCATGGTCCTCTGTAGTTCAGTTAGTAGAGTATGGTCCTCTGTAGTTAGTAGAGCATGGTCCTCTGTAGTTAGTAGAGCATGGTCCTCTGTAGTTAGTAGAGCATGGTCCTCTGTAGTTAGTAGAGCATGGTCCTCTGTAGTTAGTAGAACATGGTCCTCTGTAGTTCAGTTAATAGAGCATGGTCCTCTGTAGTTCAGTTAGTAGAACATGGTCCTCTGTAGTTAGTAGAGCATGGTCCTCTGTAGTTAGTAGAGCATGGTCCTCTGTAGTTCAGTTAGTAGAGCATGGTCCTCTGTAGTTCTGTTAGTAGAGCAGGGTCCTCTGTAGTTAGTAGAACATGGTCCTCTGTAGTTCAGTTAGTAGAGCATGGTCCTCTGTAGTTCAGTTAGTAGAACATGGTCCTCTGTAGTTCAGTTAGTAGAACATGGTCCTCTGTAGTTCAGTTAGTGGAACATGGTCCTCTGTAGTTCAGTTGGTAGAACATGGTCCTCTGTAGTTCAGTTAGTAGAGCATGGTCCTCTGTAGTTCAGTTAGTAGAGCATGGTCCTCTGTAGTTCAGTTAGTAGAGCATGGTCCTCTGTAGTTCAGTTATTAGAGTATGGTCCTCTGTAGTTAGTAGAGCATGGTCCTCTGTAGTTCAGTTAGTAGAGCATGGTCTTCTGTAGTTCAGTTAGTAGAACATGGTCCTCTGTAGTTCAGTTAGTAGAGCATGGTCCTCTGTAGTTCAGTTAGTAGAGCATAGTCCTCTGTAGTTCAGTTAGTAGAGCATGGTCCTCTGTAGTTAGTAGAACATGGTCCTCTGTAGTTCAGTTAGTAGAGCATGGTCCTCTGTAGTTAGTAGAACATGGTCCTCTGTAGTTAGTAGAGCATGGTCCTCTGTAGTTCAGTTAGTAGAACATGGTCCTCTGTAGTTCAGTTAGTAGAGCATGATCCTCTTTAGTTCAGTTAGTAGAGCATGGTCCTCTGTAGTTCTGTTAGTAGAGCATGGTCCTCTGTAGTTAGTAGAACATGGTCCTCTGTAGTTCAGTTAGTAGAGCATGGTCCTCTGTAGTTCAGTTAGTAGAACATGGTCCTCTGTAGTTCAGTTAGTAGAACATGGTCCTCTGTAGTTCAGTTAGTGGAACATGGTCCTCTGTAGTTCAGTTGGTAGAACATGGTCCTCTGTAGTTCAGTTAGTAGAACATGGTCCTCTGTAGTTCAGTTAGTAGAGCATGGTCCTCTGTAGTTCAGTTAGTAGAGCATGGTCCTCTGTAGTTCAGTTAGTAGAGTATGGTCCTCTGTAGTTAGTAGAGCATGGTCCTCTGTAGTTCAGTTAGTAGAGCATGGTCCTCTGTAGTTCAGTTAGTAGAACATGGTCCTCTGTAGTTAGTAGAGCATGGTCCTCTGTAGTTAGTAGAGCATGGTCCTCTGTAGTTAGTAGAGCATGGTCCTCTGTAGTTAGTAGAGCATGGTCCTCTGTAGTTAGTAGAACATGGTCCTCTGTAGTTCAGTTAATAGAGCATGGTCCTCTGTAGTTCAGTTAGTAGAACATGGTCCTCTGTAGTTAGTAGAGCATGGTCCTCTGTAGTTAGTAGAGCATGGTCCTCTGTAGTTCAGTTAGTAGAGCATGGTCCTCTGTAGTTCTGTTAGTAGAGCATGGTCCTCTGTAGTTAGTAGAACATGGTCCTCTGTAGTTCAGTTAGTAGAGCATGGTCCTCTGTAGTTCAGTTAGTAGAACATGGTCCTCTGTAGTTCAGTTAGTAGAACATGGTCCTCTGTAGTTCAGTTAGTGGACATGGTCCTCTGTAGTTCAGTTGGTAGAACATGGTCCTCTGTAGTTCAGTTAGTAGAGCATGGTCCTCTGTAGTTCAGTTAGTAGAGCATGGTCCTCTGTAGTTCAGTTAGTAGAGCATGGTCCTCTGTAGTTCAGTTAGTAGAGTATGGTCCTCTGTAGTTAGTAGAGCATGGTCCTCTGTAGTTCAGTTAGTAGAGCATGGTCCTCTGTAGTTCAGTTAGTAGAACATGGTCCTCTGTAGTTAGTAGAGCATGGTCCTCTGTAGTTCAGTTGGTAGAACATGGTCCTCTGTAGTTAGTAGAGCATGGTCCTCTGTAGTTCAGTCAGTAGAGCATAGTCCTCTGTAGTTCAGTTAGTAGAGCATGGTCCTCTGTAGTTAGTAGAGCATGGTCCTCTGTAGTTAGTAGAGCATGGTCCTCTGTAGTTCAGTTAGTAGAACATGGTCCTCTGTAGTTCAGTTAGTAGAGCATGGTCCTCTGTAGTTCAGTTAGTAGAGCATGGTCCTCTGTAGTTCAGTTGGTAGCGTTTGGTGCTTGCGACGCCAGGAGAGTGGGTTCATTTCTCGGTACTACCCATATGTGAAAGATAAATGTGTTTGGTGTGAACCTAGAACTACAGTCTAATGTAATAGAGGTCCTCTCTCTTTGCCAGTCTGAGGGCCAAATGTCCCCTCACCTTCCTAGAGATGACACAGTGATGTGTCCACCAGAACTAATGCTGCTCCTAATCTCACACATCCCACTATCAGGACAGATCTACACTACAATTTAAGTACACTGTCCACGAGTCATTAGCATGCGTGAAGTGTGTCCCTTCTTGATCTCAGAAATAAAGTAGTTGTGTGTTAGAATGAAGTATAGTGTACCTTATTGATGTCAGCAATGAAGTAGTTATGTGTTAGTATTAAGTGTTGTGTACCTTCTTGATGTCAGAAATAAAGTAGTTGTGTGTTAGTATTAAGGATTGTTTACCTTCTTGATGTCAGTAATAAAGTAATTGTGTGTTAGTATTAAGTATTGTGTACCTTCTTGATGTCAGCAATGAAGTAGTAGTGTGTTAGTATTAAGTATTGTGTACCTTCTTGATGTCAGCAATGAAGTAGTTGTGTGTTAGTATTAAGTATTGTGTACCTTCTTGATCTCAGTGATGAAGCAGTTGTGTATTAGTATTAGTATTGTGTACCTTCTTGATCTCAGTGATGAAGCAGTTGTGTATTAGTATTAGTATTGTGTACCTTCTTGATCTCAGTGATGAAGCAGTTGTGTATTAGTATTAGTATTGTGTGTCTACCTTCTTGACGTCAGTAATAAGGTAGTGTGTACTATAAATAGTATTGTGTACCTTCTTGATCTCAGTGATGAAGCAGTCCACCATGTGTTTGACCCGTGGAGCCTTGGCCGAGAACAGAATCAGCTTCTCATTGGTTAGATTAAACTCCAGCATGTTCTCTGAAGGCATGGTCACAAAAAGGATGTCCGCGTAGCTATGGAGACAGAGAGACAACGTAACTATGGAGACACGTAAAGACAGAATAACTACGGAGACAGAGACATCTTTGCTAATATTGTCACAATCGTTGAGAGATGGGTCAGACCACAGAATGGTTAGAGGTATGCGCCAGGTCGCAGTTGTAAATGAGAACTTGTTCTCAACTGGCTTACCTGGTTAAATAAAGGTTAAATAAATAAATAAATAAATGTAGTGTAAGGTCGTAGTAGGGTTAGTGTTAGGGTTAGAGGTATGTAGTGTAAGGTCGTAGTAGGGTTAGTGTTAGGGTTAGAGGTATGTAGCGTAAGGTCGTAGTAGGGTTAGTGTTAGGGTTAGAGGTATGTAGTGTAAGGTCGTAGTAGGGTTAGTGTTAGGGTTAGAGGTATGTAGTGTAAGGTCGTAGTAGGGTTAGTGTTAGGGTTAGAGGTATGTAGTGTAAGGTCGTAGTAGGGTTAGTGTTAGGGTTAGAGGTATGTAGTGTAAGGTCGTAGTAGGGTTAGTGTTAGGGTTAGAGGTATGTAGTGTAAGGTCGTAGTAGGGTTAGTGTTAGGGTTAGAGGTATGTAGTGTAAGGTCGTAGTAGGGTTAGTGTTAGGGTTAGAGGTATGTAGTGTAAGGTCGTAGTAGGGTTAGTGTTAGGGTTAGAGGTATGTAGTGTAAGGTCGTAGTAGGGTTAGTGTTAGGGTTAGAGGTATGTAGTGTAAGGTCGTAGTAGGGTTAGTGTTAGGGTTAGAGGTATGTAGTGTAAGGTCGTAGTAGGGTTAGTGTTAGGGTTATATACCTGTAAGGTCGTAGGACTCTGAAGTAGTCCGACTCTTTAGCGCTGCTCTTCACTGTCTTCAGGAGCTTGATCCCACTGTGAGACACAGACAGCACCTGGACACCTGTACCCGCACTACCCTACACACACACACACACACACGCACGCGCAGACGCACACGCACAGACACAGACACAGACACAGACACACACACACACACACACACACACATACATACACACACACACACACATTGGTAAGATAAACGGTGTTGGATTAAACTATACTGACATTACACACAGAGGTGAGAGGTCAAACACACACAGGTCATGCAACAGGAAGTCATGTGATGCAACAGGAAGTCATGTGATGCAACAGGAAGTCAAGTGATGCAACAGGAAGTCATGTGATGCAACCGGACGTCATGTGATGCAACAGGAAGTCATGTGATACAACCGGACGTCATGTGATGCAACAGGAAGTCATGTGATGCAACAGGAAGTCATGTGATACAACAAGAAGTAATGTGGTGCAACAGGAAGTCATGTGATGCAACAGGAAGTAAAGTGATGCAACAGGATGTAATGTTGTGCAACAGGAAG